GGGGGGGGGGGTAGGTAATAAGTCAGGGGAAACATTTCTTCTAAAGTATTCAAAAATAGCACTGTCTCAACACATCTGTCGCCCACTGTTGGTGGAGCGACGCAAGCACAAACTCTGTCCGCTCACACTCGTTCCCCCCTTGTACGAGCTACTTTGCTAGCGGGTGCAATGACTTATGCCCCACTGAATGTTTGCAAAGTCATCTGTGTGTCGCGCTATAGGGTCTTTTGTCTGTGCCACGTTCTCTTTATACGGTTCGGTAGCTGCTAAGAAAACCTGAATTTCGAGAAGTAGAACTCGGCCCTCCATTATTCAGACTGCCGAAACTCAACTTTACAATTAGGGTTGATTCCACTGAAGTCCGCATGTGAACCCCATATGCAATTCTGTTATTGCTAAACTAACAACTCTGAAAGTGGAGTTGAAATTCCTGTAAATTCTAAAAAAATTGATGCACAAATAAATTCTCTTTTTCAACAGGTCCGTGTGCACCTTCTTTTGCCGTATTCCACTGTAGCAGTACTTGCTGCTGTTTGTGCTGGCCTGTGCTTTCTGCTGCCAGAGACAAGAGACATGCCAACTCTTGAGAATATGGATTCCGTCAAGAAGGACTCCGCCAGCAAAGCCGAGGATACGGAGAACGGCAATCTTCCCCTTAAGCCGGGCGAAGACAAAGAAGACATGGGGGAATTGCTGCTCAATCAGAGTTATCACGCTTAAGACATCCAATCGAAAAACGGATTCCTTTATTTCAGTTACTCAATATTTACACGATTGTCATGGGTGAAATTATAGGAATTACCAGGATTTTCGAAGATGGCGCGCCATAAACGAATATGTCGGAAAATTTCCGGTGTCTCGGTCTCGGTTTGAATTTCTCCAAACACCAACTCTTCGACAGTATTTTTACCTTCTTAAAATCGACGAATTCAGAAGTGGTTTTTTTTCTTTTTTGATTTTGCATTGGTTTAGGCGCGCATATTTTTCGAAAGTTTGCTTTTCACTAGAGGATAAGCGTTTCAGGGAGCAAGGAAGAAAGCATAAACACAATTTTAAATTTGTTGCTAGCTTTACTTAATTAATGGCTCCCATTTTTGGTCTGGGCTTGAGTGTTGTCGAGGCAGGGCGTAACTCGTGCCTAAGGTGTAAGAGTTGACAGGTATAAGCTATGTAAGGGAAAAGTTTTAAACTGCGACTTCATGCATTGTAACAAGGTTGTTTAAGTGCGCGATTATTTCACGAACTTGCACTTTTTCCAGGGTGGGGAGTCACTCACGTAGATCAACTTTACATTTTGCTTACTTTTAAATACATCGACAAATCTAGATGGCCTTCTTGGAAGTTTCATTTTCCTTGTTTCGTAGTGGCGCTGGTATTTTGAAGTTCTTTTTTTAGGGCGTGTTATCTAAGCTATAAAAATGTCTAGATTTGATGTAGTAAGGTGTAATGGTTTCGCGTCCAAACACGATCAAACATTGTTTGGTGACCAAACATGTTAATGTTGTACAGTGACCAAACGGTATCAACATGTTTGAACGAACAAAATGTTTTAGTGTTCCATCAAATGTTTGACGTCGTTCAAATTTTATCAAACACGGTCAAACACGATCAAACAATGTGTCCAAACGGGAAAATGTTTGGTCACAAAACAATGTTGGATCGTTCCCGTTTAGACCTGGCTTTTAGCTTACTTTCAGTAAGTGTTGAATGTAAATAAAAATGAGGTTTTTCCTTATCAATATGATGTTCAGTAACACTTTGTTGGCTTCGGCAAACAGAATTTAACAGATATTATCGATATCCCGAACTGTTGTTACAAGAAGTGAAGTGAAGTGAAAGACTTTATTTAATGAGGGTGACCCGTGACAGTAACTTCAGTTACAGATAAACTTGGGGCCCTCAGCTTAAAATAATTAGAATACTAAAAATATATTAATATATATTAAGAATTACACCAATTTAAGTTACTCGGTCCGGGTTAGTTGCAATTGCTACATGAGATATCAAGCAATGCCCCCAGTTTCCAATGAAATTTTATGGTGGACAGAAAAGAAGATGCAGAAAAAAACAAAAAAACAAAACGTGGTTGTGCCCTGTTGTTGGATTTTTTGTGTGCCCAATTGGTGAACTGCGTGTGATTGCGCTGCTTTCATGCCTTCTTACATCGGGTTGTTTTCGCCATTAATCCCCAAAGTTATGATATCGTGATATTGATAAAGCATTTTGTTTTAATATTGCAACAGTTGAATGTTTGAATTTACATATGCATGTTAAAATGATGCATGGTTTTACTACTTACAAAAACACTATACAAGGGTATTCCATGTAAAGGAAACTATTTTCCCATGGATCGGAATCCGTCCATGAACTCGAACCAACTAAAGGAGATCGTTTCTAGATGTAACACAACTAATTTGGTATTGGTTCAGTCACACATAATGCAAAATGTACACAGTTGGTCGTAACCTGTTGTCCAGTTAGCAGAGAAAGTCTGGAAATACCGAACCCGGAAAAGGAGAACACTGAAGACAGCACAGGACTGAGGAGTTTTCATTTCAAGCCAGTAGACTTAAAACATTTACTAGCCTCGTCCAGCAAGCGCTATTTACATGTAAATGATACACATGTTTCTGGTGAGTGAATGATGGGTAACTGAAGCTCGCTATGAGCTTGCCCTGTGGGCGACCTCTACAAACTATGACTTTATTTGCGCCCTGGCTGCCAATGAGAACGATATCATATTTATTGTGTCACCGGCTTAAAGGCAGCTTTAGTCCAACACCAGGAGAATTCGCCCACAATTTGTGTTCGTTCGTTCGGGAGGAGTTAAGAAGGGATATCACTTATTTGACTGGATCACGGTTCGAGATCAAAGATATGTATCGCTTATTTACTGAATCACAGTTAAAGACCCAGAAGGTGTAGAAAACTCGATCACAGTTTAAGGCCCAGGATGTGCATTGCTTATTTGACTGAATCACACACCATCATCCTGGGAGCGATACTCATAGACATAAGCTCTTGGAAAAGCAGCTTAGCAGCGTACGGCATACGAATACGGGACACCTGCAAAGGAACACAAATCTTAATCAGTTACTGAATGTGCTATTCCCGCAACAATTGCCTTTCCGGACACAGTCAGACGCTCTAGCCAGCGAGCTACAGGAGACGCGAGCATGGGTGAAGTGGGTAGCTGCAAACTTCTGAGCCGGTCCAGTTCTATGTACTCATATATGCACACTCGGTTAGAATTGCAACAAGTTGATTTCTTTGCACGAAACACGAGCGAAGAAGTCGCAAAAGAGAGCAACAGAGTCGATAGGAGTTGACCGCTTCACGCCCGACTAACAAAACCTGAAAACGGACTTGGAGAAAATCTAACGTTCAGTTTGTTCAATTACCTGAGTCTTGTTCTTACAGCCCCTGCATTCAAATGTGTTATTGCGCAGGTTCGCAATAGCGATCAGCCCACACAGGTTACAGACGTGACAGCTGTAAGGATCGGACACTTCAAATAGCCGCTCATTCAGGAACTGTGCGGCACCGTGTGCAATCATACAATCGCGCTCCATCTCACCGAAACGAAGACCGCCATCACTACAATGTAAATGTAAATCTTACTTAAAGTGGTCATGCACTTGACTACACAAGCACTAAGCTTAGCTACTTTACAGGCATGCCACTGAAAGAAGGGAAACAAATATTTCAAATAAACGTAACATAGTTAAAAATCCCAACTGGCAGGAGGCAGACCAGTTGGCTATTTACAAAGCGTGACCGAGGATTTCAACTCGGGACTACCGAGAAACAAATCTCGCTAGTGGCAGGGTGGAGGCCTTGAACCCGGGACCTAAGGATTACAACACCAGCGCCCTAAACTGCCTCCTACCACAAACAAATAAACAAAATCCAAAGATTACAACATCGAGAGAATAGGATAAACACAGCCTGGTAATGGGGCTTTAAGAAGAAAGGGCAAAACTTGATGAAATGAAATGATGACATTCAGGAAGACTTTTCCGTGAGTGATTTTTGAGACACAAAGTTTAAATTTTGGTCATGCTANAACTGAGATAGCCAGGTATATTGTATAGAATTTGATTTCAAGATGAATGAGACTCTTACTTGCTGATGGCTGAAGGTGTGATTTCTTCCAAATTCTCCATAGTCCACTCCTCCAAAAACTCTAAGATAGGACTGGGTTGGGAACCAACAGAGATGTATGCCATCAAAGCTAAGTTCTTCACCAGACCAACCGCGTGACCATCAGGAGTCTCAGCAGGGCAGATCATACCCCAGTGAGTGTTGTGAAGCTGACGAGGTCGTGCAAGCTTACCCTCTCTACCAATTGGTGAGTTTAGACGGCGCAAGTGGGATAACGTGGAAGCAAATGTTAGTCTGTTAAGAACCTGGGACACCCCTGCTCGTGACTGATGTGCTTTCTTTTGATCACCCCAGTTTCCAGTCGCCAATGAGTATCTAAGACCATCTGTGATCACTTTAGGTTTGAGTGCCAGCTCAATGTTGAAGTCCTGCAAAAGGAAGTGATATTATGGAATACAACTGCAAGAATTTCAATCACCTTGTGAGGAAGCTGAAAAAAGGTTTTTTTTTTCCTGTAACTAGGGAACACAAATCTTCTTAAAACTCCCAGCAGTTTTAAATACAGTGTAATCAGTTTTTTCATATATTGAACTTTTCGGGAACAACCAACACTTGCAGTAGCACTGAATGATGTATTTAAAAGAAATGTTCGGCCATATAAGACAGGGTTTTAGGTCATAAACAACTATCTGAGGCTGACCCAAGCAACTGATAGAAAACCACAGCTGATTTGGCAAGGCTTTTATAGTCCACTGATGCTTGTAAGACAACTCCTGTAAGCAGACACTTTTTCTGGTCTCAAGAGTGTCTGCTAATGGGAGGTTTGACTGTATCAACCAACTGCAACTCCTTATTGAACACTGAATTAAAGTCTGCATGCGAGCCAAGTGGCCCATCAGGCCGGAGCTTATCCCGGTTTCTGTAGCATGAAGTGACTA